GTTCCTAATTCTCCCTTTAGATATGAGCCCCTTAATTTAAATCATTTGAAACCGCTTGCAAAAATCTGGTTTCAGTTCTTATTGAAAAACCTTCATCCCAGAAGGGGAGATCTTGATAAAGTTATGGATATGTGTCTTCTTTATTGCCTTCGCAAGAGTATTTCAATTCATCTTTCGGCAATAATATTTAATCTTCTGAAGCTATCAATCATTGCATCCAGAAACTCCCATAAATCATTCATTCCTTATGGACGTGTATTGTCTGAATTGTTTGAGTTAGCTGGTGTAATTGAAACTGTTCGAAGAAACCCGTTCATCAGAGGCAATACTCTATTTGATGAGAGTTATGATGTGTTTGAAGTTTATCTAGTTTTTCTTGTTTGTCTTTATTCTGTTGTTTCTCCTTCTGTTGTAATCTTTTGAAATTAATGAAGTCTTCTTTTGGCTTATTACTTCTTTTCTTACATGTTGTCTTCTTCTGGTTTTTATGTTTTTCACACATAATTACCTTTTTGATTATGAAAAAAATGGGGAGTAATTAAATGAACGTAATTTTGATTTAAATAATCAAGTTCTGGAAAATTTTCTATGAAAAGAGCTGCTTACGTTCTAACCCAATTAAGAGTCTATTTCAGTTAGAATTGTTTTCTTTTCTGGGATATGAGAAATCTGATTAAAGACAAAGATCTGAAAGCATTATGTAAGGCTTATGTCAAACATGTTGGCTTCAGACTTGGTTCCAAGAATTGAAATTTGGAATTAGACTCCAAGAATTGAGAATTTGGAAGTTGTCTTAGTGACATTAAAGTTTCAATATTTCAATTGTTTCATTTTCATTGGCATCTAGAGTCAAGACTCTGAAGATCTCAATATCTGATCTATTGGAACCAAGGAGAGTTTTTACTCAAATGATTCAGAGTCAGGATATCTGAGCTTCATCAAGTCATTGACTCAGGGGGGGTTTCATAAAAAGGATAAGTATTCCTTACTCTTTTTATTTTCACTTTTTTATGATTATATGAACAAAATTGTGTCATCAAAATACATAGTTTTGTCATCATCAAAAAGGGGGATATTGTTAGAACAAGATTTGGTTCTGTAATAGTATCTGAGTTTTAATGATAACAAATGAGTATGTTTGTATGAACAATTTTGATACTCTAATATTTGTTATATTTTAGTATTTAACAAATAGGTTCTGCTTCTGATGGATGGTGTGGCCAAGACATTAGAAGAGAATTGATTTCGCTTCCGCGCTACATAAGTTCTGATGAACAGTAGCAAGACACTCCAGAAGACTCTGAAGTGTAGGTTCTGATATAAAGTCTAAAGAAACCAGTCATAAGATCTGAAGACATAAGTTTCTACTTAAGTCCAGATGCTAAAGACTCGTGTTTCTGAAGGCAACATGTTATAAAGAAACAAGTCAGAAGATCTGAAGACAGAAGTCTCTACTTAAGTCCAGATGTTGAAGACTAATATTTCTGAAGACAAAGGATTCTCAAGACCAAGTGCTGAATATTTTGGTAGAAGGAGTTCTAAAGACTCTGAAGACTTAAAGTTCTAAAGACCCATGGTTCTAAGAAAAGGGTTATAAAGACCAAGTGTTAAAGACTCTGAAGACGGAAGTTCTAAAGACTCTAAAGACTTGAAGTTCTGAAGATCCAAGATTCTAAGAAAAGGTTTTCATGACCAAGTGCTGAAGACTCTGAAGACTCTGAAGACGCAGTTCTGAAGACTCTGAAGAGTTGAAGTTCTGATGACCTTGTGTCATGTCCTTGCTTCTAAACTCATGCTCGCAGAAGCCTCTGAAGTATAGAAGGAAAGAAGATAATGTTAACATGGTACAAATAGTATATGGTACAATCAATGTTTCATTCCACTACCATGAAAGGACGGATGCGTTGCACAATCTTGTCCCCCACGTGATTTCTCAAGCTGCCAATGTTTCTGAAAATCCCAAGAGTACCCCTCAGCGGATATATTATTTTACTGGCTATATAAAGGCTTGAAGATTAAGAGAGAAAGCGACGAATTTTCATGGATTATCCACGCACAAGCGTTGTTCATAGCTTTCGTAATTTTTAGTCTATTGTTCTTAAAATAGTTTACATATTCAGCTTGTGTAGAAGCAATATTCTTATAAACACAACTTGTATTCGAACAGTTGTTTGGTTTCCTTAAAAGACCTGTTAGGTCAGTATTCTTGAGAAGTCTAGGACTAGTGTGTCTTAGAGATTTGATTTTCCTTAAGGGGCCAGTTAGGTATGTATCCTTAAGAAGTCTAGGACTTGTGTGTCTTAGAGATTGTTAGTCACTTACGGGTAGCTTGTGCATTGTAATGATCAGTTGGATTATTGGATTAAATCTTCGATTGAGAGAGGCAAAATCACCTTGGCGGATGGACTAGACTAGCTTGATAGTTTTCAAGTGAACTAATATAAACATACCTTGTTCTTTACTTCCTATTCTTAATTATTGTTATTATCAAGAGTGAAGGAAAAAGTATTTTAATTAAAGGGGAATATTTTTAAAAGAAAAGTTTTGATTTAAAACCCAATTGAACCCCTTCCCCCCCCCCCCCCCCTTTCTTGTAGTTTTCACACCTTCAATTTCTTCTGCCAACAATTCATTAAAAAATGAATCAACACTGAGAAGAGGATTACAATGCAGAATACCCTCCGGAGGCCCTCAAAATCATCTTTAAGCGCCATCAACAACTGAACCAAGCGCTGTTATTCTCTTTGATCAATATACGCTTTGACAACTTTCAATTCAGTTGATTCCATAAGAGAAATTGATCCCACAAATTTGTCATCGATGAATATAATTCTTGAATGGTCATATTATTCTGTTTGAGAGATCTAATATCAGTCTCTAACTGATACCGTTTTGCAAAATTTGACTGAGCATACAAACGTTTCAAATGGTCCCAAACCTCCTTAGTAGTATCATATTTTTCTAATTGTGCACCTATTGACTGAGAAACATAATTATTTATCCAAGTAAGAATATTTGAATTACTAACATCCCATGTTTCCAACTCTTTTGCATATTTTGCTTCATCCTTTTTATCTGTAGGTTTAACTGAGGTTCCATCAACATAACTCCACATCCTTTTTCCTTTCAAAATTATTTTCATTACATAACTCCAATAAAGATAATTTTCTCCCATGAGTTGGACACTAACGGACTGAAGAGAGTCAATTTTATGATTACTCATTGTAGTCAAAGTAGCGTTAGTGATGGAAGTAACCGGTTAACAATAGAAGCCTTCAAAGAATCAGTCAATATTCTAGCCAATCAAAAGCACCTTTAATTCCAATAAATAGCAATGTAAATAGCCGATAAAGATTCCACCGAATCAGAGGAAAAAAGTCGTTGTTCCACCAAATCATGGGAAAAAACAATCGTTACTGCAAGCCGTAACAATATGCGGACCACGTTTGATAAAAAAAATTTCACCAAAATTTATCTTTTTTTCTTCTATAAATAGAAACTTGGTTCATTTGATTTGGACAAAGAAAAATAATTGACTTTATTAAATAAAAAACATAAAAGAAAATAAGAATATAAAATAAAAGTGATGTGGTAGTGTGTTGAATTTTATTAAATAAAACAATTGTAGTAAGTAAAAATTGAATGAATGTTAAATTATTAAGTAGAAGAGAAGGAAGATGATATGGAGTGTAAAAAGTGAAAAAATAAGATATTGAATATGTAAATCATTATGCATAATCTAAATCATTAAAAATTAAATTCTTTAAAATATATTGATTAATTATATAATAGCTTTCTAAGATAATCAAATTTTTGGATAGAAAATTAAAAACATAAACACCCAAATATTTGGAATAATCATATAACTTAGTTCCACAATTAAGTTTTCAGCAAGAAATAATTTGAAGATAAATAACAGGAATGGAGGAGCATAACTAAAAGGAGAGTGTGAATAACAATTGTCCAACGAAAGAGCCATCCAACATAATTTTTGTTTAACACTAAAAAAAAAAAAAAAAATATATATATATATATATATATATATATATATATATATATATATATATATATATATATATATATATATATATATATATATATATATATATATATATATATATATATATATATATTTGGACAATTTTTCTTTCTATTTTTATAGAATTGGACAAATCTTTGAAAATTCTAAAATATCATTAAATTTACAACTAAATTTCAATAAGAAATGAAATTTATTATATTCAAGAATATATCTCTAAAAATAGAGAATATTTTTGACATTTCATTAAAAGAGTACAAGGGTGTTTTGACTCAAAATTTTGGGAATTTTTTTTTCTATAAAAATGTTGAAGGTTCTTTGAGTAATCAACTCGTGATTTTCAATAATATAATACTATCATGGTTTCTATTCTTCAGCGTAGAAATTTCAAAGTCAAGCTTTTTATTATAATCAAAACATGATTTTTCTCATTTATTCTTTTCTTTGACAAAATGTGCATTTTGTTTTTGACCATAATTATACTGCATATTTTTTTCAAGAAAATATTTTATAAAATCAAGAAAATTTCCGACCATTGTCCTACAGTTTTACATGTAACTTTCAAAAATTGAAACAAATAACTATAAAATAATTGTAAGAAAAATGCTAAAAATTCAAACTCAGAATTTAAAAAAAAACCCACTTAAATTCACAATTGCAAATTTATAGTTCTGAGAAATTGAGTATTATTATTATTTTCTTCCTGTCCTATCTTTTAAAATTATTTACCACCACCACCACACATCTTTGCTGTAATCCAAAAGTGACCCATTCTCCAACCTTCAAAACCAATAAAATCATTTTTTTGTCAAAAAAAATTAAAAAAAATAAAAACATATAATTAAATAACAATATACATCTTGTTGACTATAAAAAAAATCAAGATTGTAAAATTAATCTTCTATATTATTTTATAGAAATCACATAAATACAGTAAATTTATCTTACCTCTTATTTACTGTTACAACCTCCCTTTATTTTTTTTCCTCTTTTCTCTAGCACGTTCAAAGGAACCCCTACATGATGTCAAAGTAATGAAGAAATTATAAATAGACTGAAAACAACACCAATAATTATGATAGCAACATAAAATGGACTCGAATTAAATTAAATTTTTTTTGTAGAATTTTGACCCAGTCAATCAACATGTAATTGACCCTTTAAATAGATTAGTGATTTTTATGTGTTAGCTTTGATCTTATCGACAATTTTCTTAATAATAGTCAAATTTCAGATATTTAATTTAATAATATTGATATTTATGGGTTGAAGTAAGTCAGATTCAAAGCATTTCTAACCATTTGATTGAAATTAGAAGATTTACGTTATAAACTGTTTTATATATTTTTATATTTATAGAAGTAAAAAATTTGTAATTTTGATTACCTGCAACTTTTTGGCACATTCCAAGAAGGGTGTGAATTTTTCCTATGATTTTCATTCAATCCCATATAGTTTTTCCAATCCTTAAGCACAATTTTAAGATCTTCAACTTTATTCTCCAAACCAACACAACAATTAGCATGCATTGTTGTGGCTTTACTAAAATCCTTGCCAGATTGACAAAACCCTCCAAAGTAACCGGTGCTTAAGAACCTAATCTTGAGCTTCTTAGTTGTAATTAAGGGGTGCATTTTGATTTTGTTTAGAACATCTTGATCATGCTTAGTTGGATATGATACTCTTGACTTGTACCAAAATCTGTAGAACCAAATTGTTCTTGGATTGGATCTTACATAGGTGAATCCTCCATTTGGATAGTTGTGTAAGTCATAGGAGTTTCCATTGAAAAAATCACAAGCAATTTGGAAATCAGCTTCTTTGTAAAATTGTGGGAATGGATCTCTTAGCCACATTATATCAGTGTCCTACATTGAAGAAAAAAAATATTCAATCTTGAGCTGTTCACATATAATTCAGTGAAAATATCGAAATGAATCAAATTATAGTAAAAAGTCATCTAAAATGAATAGTGCTATTTCAATTTATTATTCAAAATCGAATCGAACTAATGTTATTGGTTTGGTTTACCAATTAAGAAAATCAAATTGAACTGAATTATAGTGCAAGATTATCTAAACTGAACCATGTCATCAGTTCAGAATTCCGAGCAGTACCAAATCGATAGAAGACAATTTTTTTTTAAACCGAACAATTTGTTAAAGAACTGAATCGTTATATTTATTTTTAATTTCTTTTATAAAAAAATAAAATTAATTTTTAGTAATTTTTGTTTTCAATTTCGTTTAGGTTCAGTTCATTAATCAAACATAACTATTGAGTTATTTTAACTTCAATTCGATTCGGTACAACGATTAAATTCATTTTAAAACAGTTTGTGTAATATGATTGGTTTATGAACCAAAACATAACAATTCAGTTCTAAAAGTGTTTGTGCAACATGGTTTAACAGTTCAGCTGGTTTTTCTTGAAACATTAGTGATTCAATTTATCAAAACTTGTAAATTGTATGCATCTTGCAAAAAGAAATAAAAACATACCGTGAACACAAAGCTGTATCCCAACTCAAGAACAGTACCAAGAAATTCAATTCTTCTCCACATCATATGCAAGTAACTTGGAGTCATGAAAAAAGCTTCACTAGTGAAATTATCACCTTTTGTTTGAAGTTGATAACAATATTTATGCAAATCAACACAACGAGAATATGCTTTTTGGTCCCAAGTTATTACTACAAGATGATCCAATAGCTTCTGTGTTTGGTTCCCACCAACTTGAAAACTCTCAAGAAATTGATCAAATATTGAACCTGGCTCTGCCCATGCATCATTCAATGTTGTGAGTATCACTGTTTTGTCCTTCATTGATGCGTTTTTAAGAATGTTTTTAAGGTTTGGATCATAATATTCCTGTTACATAAAAACATATAAGTTAGTATTAAATATTATAAAGCACCGACATTTTAAAAAAAAATATTCATGTTTTAAAACTGACATCGACACTTGTGATTATATTTATTTATTTTTTTAAATTATTATCGACATAAACATGTCAGGGTCTATGTTATGTCGTGTTTATGATGTTTGTAATTCATAAATGTCAAATTTGAAAGACAATAACTATCCTTTTCTTATAAATGGTTGATTAAGAGATAGAGCAAATCTTATCTAAAATTCATGACATCAAAATAGGATTAAGATTTAAGAAAACATCAAAAGAGAAAAGTATGCGAAAATGTCCATAAAAGCCAACAAATTTGAAGGCAATAATATATAATATTCATATTAATTAGGATATAGACAAACAAATAATGTACACAATGGTCCCTTTATTTTACTTATATACGCAAGTGGCTCCTAAGCTATTTTAGGGTTAAAATTGTACATAATATTTTTAGTGGTTTACATGTGATGTTGCATTCAAACTCTTATTATGGTCCTATATATGTACACAATTATATAGAGTGGAAACTGATTTTTGTGACACTATATCACAATTATTGAGTATGACATCCTCAAAGAATAATATCTTATAAGAGGAAATTTGTTCCTTTATTCCTTTCCCACTGACATATATCAAAATAGAAAAATGGGTTGTAGAAAATTTGGATCATGGGACCATAATAGTGTTCTTAGCTTAAAAAGTGCAAATTGGTTTTGCCCTAGTAAATTTATGGTAAGTTTCATGTGAATAAATCTAGTCCAAAATTATTTTTATATAAGTCAATAAAATTGATCATTTAAATTTCTCTATTACTTAACCAATAATAGTATCATTAAAAAGAGTGGAGAATTTGAAATCAAACCAATAATGAAGTTAGCATTTATAGCTAGCAAAGTTGAGTCAACCATTAGTCAACATTGGGAGAACCATGTGAACAGCTGGTTATGTCTAAATCAATGCTAATTAACTAGTTATATGTTAGCACATGGTTCATCAAGATGGTCACAAACATGCAAAAAAGAAAACCTTTAAAAATTGTAAACAAACATGCAAGTTGAGGTAATGATGTTCTTGTAAAGACATCTATAAAAATAAAACTACAAAAGTACTAAAAACACTTATGAGCACAATAGGTATGATGAGACAAAATCTATCTACTATTTAAATTTTCATTGCCAAATAAAATCACTAAAAAAAACAGTTCATTTTCAATGATCTTTCATCAACAATGAAATATTATGGGCCCCATATAAAATATAAAAATAACAATAAAAGAAATGAAAATTTGAAAATAGGATTAAGGCTTTAAAAATAAAACTCAATTTTATTTTATTTATCTTTGTCTATTCTAAAGAATGCCCTTATCTATTAAGTGTGTTTCTTTCGAGTAAAAAATATTTACTGGAATATAGTCATGGGAAAGCACTATTATAATGTTTGATTCAATTTTTAAAAATTTATTCTGTATATTTTATTTCAGGAACTTTATTTATATATAATTATTTTATTTTTATTCAAAGATGTAAATGGCGAGAATCTAACGTTTTTATAGAAATAAAATTTAACTACCTATAACTCTTCTCTACAAGTCATATTTATATATTTCTTTTAATTTTTAGAATTTTTAAATTAAATAAATATTATAAACAATTTTAAGAAATTTAATTTTTACCAATCACTTGAATAGAAATATTATTCTAAATAATAATAATGATGAAAATAAAATTTCAAAAAATATTATTTCTAAATTTAAAACAAACAAACTTAATTTTACAGCTAACTAATAGATTGCATGTAATTCGTTTGACTGGCATAATTTTAAGTTATAAAATATCTTTATTTTATATTTTATTAATTTTTGTTATTGAATATTTGTATATTATTTTAGATAATATAATTAAAAATTGAATATAATATTTTTTTGAAAAAAATTATAATATTTTTTAAAATATATTTTAGTAATTAATAATCAAAATATTTGAAGTAACATATATTATATTTATCATAAATATTAAAGAGTTCTTATTTTAATTTTTTAAAATAATAAATAAATAATCTTTTTAGTATTAGATAGTTCGTAATCCGCATATGATCGAGTTCATATAACATATTTTAATTTCATATTATAAAATCCATATAAATTAATTGAATAACATGTGTTACAGGAAATTTTTTTAAATGATAGTACAAGTAAAAGAATATTATTTCAAGCGAAGAACATGTTGGGCAACTCAGAAACATAACAATTATGCTTTAGAACATACAGATTAATTGATTAAATATAATTATTGAAGAATTCAAAGACAGATACTAATTTGTTGCGGAATATTCACTAATAGTTCTAGGGACTATCATAAATAATTAAAAATATTTAAAATAAAATAATATTGAATGTTGACTTATATACTTTTGAAAACGATCATTTTCAAATAAAAAATACATAAAACTTTTCAGAGTTAGATAAATTTGAGGTTTTGGTTTAATGTCCTCTCATTTTTTACATATTTTTTAATATTTTGCGCTAAAGCCCTTTTCAGTTAAAAAAAAACAACTCAATTTTGTAAAAATTTTGAAAGATAATAAAATAAATTAGGATGAATTTTTTGTGAATTGCATTTTAAACTTAAATAAAATTATCAAAAAAATATTTTAATATTATATACAACACATCATGATCTAAACTCAACCTAACCCGTAAATAATCAAAGTTAATTTGGGTAATTTTTTATTGTGAAATTGATGATTGAAAATGGAATCGAATCAATTAAAATTTAAACAAATTGAGTAACAAATTAGGTCAAATCTAATAAAGTATTTAAAGTTATTTTGGATTAAGATTAATACTATTCTATTTAAATAGGCTCTTTAACAGAAAAGAAATGGAGTAGACAAGAAAGAACGTAGCAATCACAACTTGCTTATTATTTGTTACAAACTTAAAATTCTTAAGATAAATCACAGGCAAATTATAACGAATTATATGCTTCAAGTGATACAATAAAAATTAATCATATATAAAATAAAAAAAAAATAAAGGATATTATTAAGTGGACACAAGAAAAAGACATTTTCACACGATTCTTAATAGTGGCAAATTCGAAAATTAAAATTGAAAAATCATTAAAAAAAAAAGTTTACGCCTTAAGAGACGGCTGAAAAAGATGCATAGGCCCAGACGCTACATCCCATTTTTCTTAATTGAATATTTATTTTATGATAAAAAAAGATTTAGTAAAGAGAAAAAATAAAATAGAATAAAAAAGGTGAAAAGCTTCATCGCAACGAAAAAATTGATCTTGTAGAGAGAGAAAGTAGAGAGAGAAAGACTAACTTGCGAGGAGAAAGCATTGAAGTAGTGTGAGATAGTAGCTGGAAAAGCAAAGCGAGAAGCAGAGTTGTTATTGTAGAGAAACATGGAAAGAACAGCAAATCCAACAAAAACCATAATCGTTTGCATAATCCTCCTCACCAAACCAATTGAATTCCCTTCACCGCCACCGCCAGATAGATGCTTCATTCTATCGAAACCTCAATTGGGTTAATTAATCAAGATAAGGCTTTATAATATAATAATCATAAGCTTCTTTGTTTTCTTCACCCACACAACATGTGTCTGTCTTTTCTGTTAACAAAGTTTGGGAAGATTGCTCACATGAATTTTGTAGGCTATGAGATGATGAGGAGAAAGTGAAGGGATTGGAATTGGGACAGTTTCTAGAAAAAACGGTTTTCAAGTTTTGAATACATTAAGTGTGTTATGTAGATGATGACAATATGAAAGAGAGAGATTTGGGAAAAGAGAGTGAACAAGTTGCAAAAGGGTTATTACTTTTTCGGTTTAGGGACAAATGGAAAGTAAATATTGTTTTCGATTTTTTTTTTTTTGTTTATTAGGGGAAAAGATAATAGGAAATTATTTATTCTAAAATTGTAAAAAGTGACATTAAAAAGTTAAAAGTGCTATTAAAAATCATTAAAAATTTGGTCGAATAACTAAATATAAAAATTGTTGGATGAAACTAAGCTTTTATTTGGAAATGATATATTTTTAGACAATAAAAATATCTAATTGATAATGATTTTTTTATTACAAATAATATTTTACTTACTAACTTATAATTATTTTTGTTTTTTCTACTTCTTTTATCTTTATTATTTTAACCGAAATTAATTTTTATCTTTTATAATTTATTTTAATTAAAATAAAATAATTATTTATTAAATATATTTTTATGTATTTTTACATTTATCAGTTACGTGAATCGTTAATTTTATCAAACACTTAAATTAGTTGATCAGATATCGGTTATCAACTAAAACATATAAGTTATTAGTCATTTACCAACCATAAATTAAAACTATTAGTTAATTTATAAGTTAATCGTTATTTTTATCGAATAGAGCCTATTTCAGTTGGAAAGGGAGAAGTGGTTTAGTTTATTTTCTTCTTCTTATTTGGACAAGTCCCTGTGGTATGCCTAGGGTGAGTCCCTCAGGCACGAGGCGAGTCCCTTAAGCATAGTCTGGGATATTCCCACCAGGTGTCAATGAGGTGAATCCTCATACATCAATTGAGAAAATCCCCTAACGTTAGCTGAGGGAATTCTCCAAACATCATTCGAGGTGAAACGCACATGCGAAATTAAATGCAAACAATAATGATTTAGTCTTAGAGCACCAAATTGGCCTTAATTTCCCATATGTGTCAGAAGTGTGTAGATCCTTAATCCTTATGTTTTCACACATTTTCGTCTATGAAGCCCTTGAGAATCTCATCAGAATCCCTCAAGAGCTTTTCAGTCTTCTCAAGTTCAAGTTCTTAATCTCCCTTTCCCCAATTAGGACGATAATTAGGGATTTAGATGAGAATGAAAACCTAGTAGAGTCTTCGACCCACGATGAGCGCATATCCTTGTGGAATTATTGTTATAGAAATGCCATAAATGCTTACGGGATGGTTAACTATAATTTAGTGGAATTATGCATGTTCGGTAGTTGTGAGAATTCCATTAGCTCCAATAGAGATAGTAGCGGTGATAGTGATACTGACTCTTTTCCCCCTTTTTATTTTTCTCAAGAAACACGAATCTAATGGTCGCATATGTCAATTAGGGCAAGGAAGTTGAGGATTTCAAGTTCTAATACATCACAGAAGAAATGATAGCCTCCTTTCGACAACATATCAACCTTTCTTTTTAAGGCGAAGAGGAAGAAGTCATCAAGGAGACATGTTCTACGACAGAGAGGGACAAATGGCCATTTTGGACGATTCTCACAACCCATACTTCCACTTTCACCATCCTGTCATTTGTGACCTACAGGTTATAATCTCCTTTTTCCCGTTTGAGGCATAAGTTTTTAAGGTGATTAATTTCTCCCCATCCCAGATCACACCTGTGATACGCTGGCAGAACCGACTGTTTAATACTGGTTTTGCATTTGTGTTCGCAAATGTTGCGGTAAGCAAGAGTCGTCACCGACTTTTCTTTTATCCAAATTAAGGAAAGGGTGAAAAGAACAAAAAAGACCTTTTTTGAGAGTTTTATGAGTAAGGGGGTAGATTATAGAAAGGGAAGGTGTTAGCACCCTTTCCATCTGTAGTATCTACGGGCTCTTACTCATTTTGAAATACCTTTGTGTTTTGTGTGTTTGAAAATGTTTTGAGAATGCCTTAGTATGGCGAACTTTGTAATGTTTCTCGGGATAGTTGAGAAAGTATACAAAGTATTTTGAAAAATGTTTTTTGAAAAGCAGTATTTGTGTAAGTGCAAAATGTTTTGAGCAAACTTCTAACAGCTATCTACTTTGTACTCGAAAAAAAGGTTATTCTTTTCCTCCTTTCCTTTAGACAATACTATCCTACTATTGGTGAGTAGATAGCCTTGTCGTTGGATGTATAAGGGACATTCGAAGGGACGTTACAGTCACGAAGGAAACTTGTGGAGACGCTTTAGCAATTTTGTTAGGGACTAGATCATTTACCGAGAGGCAACTGTAGGGTCATCGAGGGACTATGATCTTTTTGATTTACGGGTCTTTGCTAAAGCGTCCCCGTTTCGAGGGACATGACTGCTTTATTTCTGAAGGAAACCAAAGTGGGATATCCTAGAGGTGTATATGTGCAATGTGTGTTACATTCAGTTGTTTTTTTATCTTTTGTGTTAGGTTTGCTAATGTTTTGTTGTTTCAATCTTGTCATGCAATCCTAGTTACTAGCAGTAAATATGTACAGAATATAAAGTCCAGAAGTATAAACCTATACTATTACATGGCTTTGGGAAGGGGGATTTACACTGTATAAAAACTTGGGAGTGCAGAAAAATAAAGAAAGCAGATAAAATCCTATTAATTATTACATTCTAGGATGCAGATACAATAATATAAAAATGCGAAAAATCACGCGCGAAAGTTAAAAGTCATCTAAAAACCTAGTAAGAAAAATATTTTTTGTTGTTTTTGATTTAAGAAAAATAGTCAATCATCCTAAAGTCTATATAATAAAATTAAATTAAGAAAAATAATCTATTTTTTTAAGTTTTTTATTATTATGAAAAGAAAATAATTAGTCCTAAATTCCAATTCATTTTTAATTAAGAAAAGGTTAAAGTTTTAATTAATTAATTAATTAAAGAAATTAATTATTTAATTAAGAAATCTAAACCTAATTTTTTAGTGAGCTTTTTTTATATTTGGTTAATTAAACAAAAGAAAACAATAGTAAAAACAAATATAAGAAATAATACAAAAAGAAAAATGCCAAATGGGCTTAGGTATGCAGAAGAAATAAAGGGGGGGGGTGTTGTTGAATTTGCTGGGGCCAATCAAAGGGGAGGCCTAGGCTGTATTAGAATCGAGTGAGAAGATTATTTGGATGTCCATGATGGGGACACGCATTTGCTACGCTTGGATCTGACTGTAATGGCATTGAAGGGTATAGATCTGGTGACCCATGGTGTGTGCATATGACCTGATTGTATTGGATCTACAAAAAGAAAATGAAAAAATAATATGCAAGAGGCAGGGGTCGAACCCCTGACCTCTCACACATATAACGCCTTAACACTCATGCACTCAACCGTTGGAACGGACATCCGTTAGTATATATTAAACGATTATGATATATTGTAAAATGAGTCATAGCACTGAGCTGTCACATGCGCACAAGTACAGTAGGGTCCAACCATTTGAATGAACTAATCAAATTGTTCCTTTCTGCCACGCCTTAGTCAGCTTCGGTCAAGTCACCAGAGGTGGTGGCTCCGGTCATCTCTTTCGGCCGCTCTAAATTTCCAACCTGCAAAATTCAAATATAACAAGAACAAAAATGACCCTACCCCCCTAATTTGGGGTCTACAAATTCAATGGTGATGTTTATTTAGTCTGAAAGCTCCTGGTTTATGAGATGCTAAGCTTTTTAGTTTATGATACCCTAACAATGGCATCACACCATTCAGGCCTTAAAGTTTTCATGCTACACGTCCCACATGTTCTAATGGACCTCCTGATCACAAATCAAACCATCAAAAACATCAACAACACATGAATCTAAAATTTCAAATATGACAAACCTTGTTTGACCGGTGACACGCGATCTTGCAGTTTGAGGGTGCTATGGACTTTGAAAATGTCTGGAAGTGACTGCTGGCACCTTAAGGAACGTGGTGGAGTCTTTTGTTTGGACTGAGGGAGACTAGATCAGTGGTTTTAGAAAAATGACAACTTTGGAGATTTTTGCAATTTTGACAAATTTTGCAATTTGATATGCTCTCTTCAGGCTGTATATGCGTGTGTTATGCTTGCAAGATGCTTGGTATTTATAGAGTAGAAATAATGGACAGTGTAGGAGGGAAAGAAGCATGCTCCATTATGTTCTTTAAGAGCCATGAATGAAAATTTGTAACTTTGCCAAACACATGCAAACTTGTCTCTTTTTTTTAATTTGAATGAATATGGACATCAATGGCTTTCGAATGCCTTCAGTTCCTGCCCTTTGATTGGACCTCTTGTACATCCTTTGAATGGGTCTTTTGAATGGAACTTTTGTGTACCCTTTGAATGGGCCTTTGGTTACCTCCTTCGAAGGGGTCTTTTGAATGGACCTTTTGAGTGTCTTTCACATGTATGCTTTGTGCCCTCTTCGAATGGGCCACTAAGGTGTGTCCTTCGAATGGATCAAATCTCATCATTGGGGCTTCTTAGATTGAGTCCCTACTCAGCTATCCCCAACAACAAAAAAATATTTCCAGTCTAATGGAAGCTTCCTTCAGAATGCTTGTGCAGGAAACTTGAGTATGGCAATATGTGATATTTTGGGCCAACCAACATCTTTACATATCTCTCTTTCGTTTTGACCAACTAGATCCAACTTTTGACCAAACCCCTTTTCTTTTAGACAACACTATATGTCCTTCGAATGTGCCTTTGAATGCTTCTTCGAATGGATCATTTACATGTCCTTCGAATGGTTCCTTCGTTGGACCCATCTATTTGCCTTAGTTACTTGATTCCAATAGCCCA